GGATGTCTGTATATATCTGTCTCGCTCCCTCACAGTTATCTGATGCCAGTAACAACTGGCCCCTTGATAACAATCAAGGGACTCCTTTGATATCTAACGGTTATCTAAAGTAAGCTCGCAGGGAATATAAGCAACGTTAAAAGTTAAACCATCTTTTCTGTATTATAACTTTTTCGCTGGGTTTCCGTAGTTAATATTACTTTAAACGATTCTTCTACTACTTAATTAATTATATAATATTAAACCTACTGGATTAAAGAAATCTAGAAACGCATACATGTTATAAATAATTATTAGGGATGCTCGCAACATGCGCCACCGGCGACATATCGCCGCGCTGCCCGCTGAATTACAATTATCTATAAATTTCTCAATTAATTTTTTTTCAGATACTGATATCATAAAATTGTCGAAAAGTATCTTTTTATCATTGCATTTTGTATATGTTAGCATAGTTATGATTTAACTAGTGTAAAAGTTTTCCATAACAGAACATATTTGCTGCAATCCAACGATGAAAGTTTGAAATGTTAAGACCAATGCGGAGTAATTCAAAGAAACTTAAATCGTCCTCAATAATACGGAGCGAGTCACGTCGCGCGGTACATCGCCCAAACTTGCTCCTGCAAAATTGTTCTTTTCGCATTAGGAATTTATCCCGCGCCCGGCGCAGGGTACGATACATGGCAACGGGACTGAGAATTGGATTCTCATTAACATATTGATAGACTTAATATTTCAGTCTCTCTGTATGCGGATACGTTTTCAAAGTATAATTAGATAATGTAAAGATTACAATTGTACAATTTTATAAAGACGACGTTTCACTATCATATAAAGCAATGATGGGACGTAAAGGACAAAGAGAAATTAGGTACCTTAACTTCGTAGTGTCGCAACAAGAAATGAAATTATTTTGTTATATCACAAATGATTGTTATCCTAAAGTTAAGTCACATCAGTTGCGATTAATATATTATTGCGTGATTATATTATTTGCTACCAATTGTTGAAATTTTACCACGACATTTCTGTCTAGTGGGAATCGATCTCAAATATTTTCTGTCCGTTTAAATATAAGTTTAGCATCGCCACGCGATGCGACAAACTTTTCCAGAGTAATTAAACTTAGCAATGCCATAAATTTCATTAGAGATAATTGAAAAATAACAAGAATTCTTTACTTGCATTGCATTGAGTTCTGTCTTGTCTGTCTGTCTGCCAGCCATGCCTCAGTTTAGTCTACAAATGCCATTTATTAAGAGTACACTTAAAAGGACTAAAACTTTACAAACATTTGTCAAATGTACACTTTATTGCATTTGTTATAAGGATTAAAATGATAACTAGCTATCTGACTCTCGTGTCGTTTATGTCTTATGTATGAAAGAAGCAAGTTGAGCGTCTAACACGAAGCTTTAAGTTTTAACTAGTACGATATAAGAGTAAATTTCCTTTGTATATGATAGAGCTGAAACGTTGTTCTTTTGCACAAAAGGTAGTTTCCAGTACTAAGTGCATCGAGATCTCTCTACGTGCATCCGTTTGCAATGTCAGTTGGAAATTTCTCGTTACCGCAATAATCCGCGCCCAGGTTCATATAACATTTTGCAATATTTCACAATTTAACTTAGGTAAATTTACCAGCGAGCGTAACAAAAGCTGCGTCGTGTCTACTCAATTACAGCGCTGTAGACAATGCAATATGACATTGATAAAACAAGCAACAATTTTAAGTGCAAGACTTTAATTGTAAAATAGCAGCCTTCGAAATGTGCTCACGTAGAAATCTGTATTCAAACTTAACTTAAAGATATTCACATAGAACATTATTTTAAATTCTTCAAACATTGCGATTTATTTCTAGTAGTTTTGAATATCTCCTCGGCTTCAATAGATGCGTGTGTGAAATCGAAATGAGCGGCGGCCGGCGAGCCGTGGCGAGGTGTGTGTTGTCTGAATAGCCTCACTAGCTACAGTTCCCTCCGTCTCTTTACAATCATCATCCTTATTTACATTTGTATACCGGCCTCTTCGATCATCATTTCTACATACATGATTTTTTTATAACATTGTACATATAGTTAGGTATCTTTAATATTCAGTGGTAAAAGTGTATTTGTTATTTTTTTATGATAAATTGTTGTTAAATATAATGACTAAGTTGCGTGGTTAAAATACTGATGAAGGATATCGTTGGGTAAAGTTTTCGATAAGCAAACTGAAGCGTCTTGCTTGACACTAACGTATTTTACACAAACTGGATAATGAGGAGGGACGAGGCACGGAAACGCTTGTAGGTTTACGTAACGTGATCGAACGAACAGTTTGAATGGATGTGCGATGAACCTTGCTTATCAGTGGCAGAGGTCGCCTGTAAAATATACCTATAGCTCGAGTTATTACGGAGCATGTCAACCCTCGGAGCGGACCATTCAAAATAGGACGTCAGGCGAAAAACTAGAAAAGTTACACAAGCTTTTAAAGTACGCAAACAGGGTTAACGTTCACATCCTACCCTTTGAAATATTAAAGATACATTTACTAAGATTAAAAACATATAAAGTAGTACTTTACATGTTAATACATTACCTTTTTATGTTATTACAGTATTTTAGAGCTAATTGCTACTAAAACTAAGGTAATGTGGTGGTGTAAATATGTGTTATGACATTTTAACAATAATTTATTGCGTTAGTGTTATATTCGCCATATTCTGATAGTACTTTGAATTATAAATTAATTTTAGTTTAATTAATATGCTGTAGTAAAAAAGTAGATATCTATTGCAGTAAGAGTTATACGTGTAAATTCGAAATCGTATTTATCATAAAGTAACATTAAAACACTAGTAGCCAATAATCTGAGGACATTTAAATGCTATTACATTTATGCGGTCGGTTTGGCCAATAGCCAAAGCTGCTGCGCGGCGAAGAGGTCGTTAAGATTGTAAATTTAAAAAGGCTTAGTTCCCAAGTATTTCTTGGACAAGTTTGCACAGTTACGTCCATATTATTATTAGTTCAGGCTTCTCTGGTATTCAAATATTTTCTTTTAATTAAAGCGGACAAGAAGATATTGGCTGTTCCCTTTAGTATATTTATTTTAAAATCATATCTTGAGGTAAAACAAGGTAACATTTGTACTCTATGGCAATTAGTAAATTCTCTTACAAAGAATTGTCGGCATGGTCTATTTACTGTTATGAAATTAAACATATTCTTTTGTGTTTGCAGAACAAAATATGGCTTGTATATTTGAATCAGACAGAGATTAGCAATACATCGGTATGCAAGTGGCAGCAGAACACGCGAGCGAACGCATTCGGCCGGAACGGTGCGAGGTGCTGGGGGTGTCGCGGGGTAGTGCGGGCGGGGAGGTAATGTGCCAAATCAATCTAATTTGTCAATGAAAGTCAGGCGCAGACGTTGATTGCTTCATGTGCCTATAAGATGTCGCTGTTGACGTCGCACAGTAAACATATTTTTCTCTTTGGGAATATTTAATTTCGCCCTTTTCGAGTTTCTTCCGTCTTGAGTATTAGTTATGTTTTGTATAAATATTATACATATACGTCAGTGTGTTATGAAAGTTACCAAAGTCACCTAGAATTAGTTTTTATTAATTATATCGTTTTATTTAGTTAGTTTTAATAGAAATAATTTAAAAATCATGAAAATATTAATATTACTAATACGTAATTAATGTAAAATGTGACCTAAATATAAATAACACGTAAGTTATTGACGGCATTTTAGCGCTCATGTCACCTGGACGATTTACTAATCGGAGGCAATTAATGTTAAATGAGGAATATGGTAGCTTGGAAATTCTCTTACTTATCCATTAGCGTGGACATTTATTATATAAATTCAGTGATGATTGCTTACTCAAATAAATTAATTTGAATATTAATAACTTCTTATTTTCATGTTTTTCGTTGCATGTATTTATTAAAAAGATTTAATGTCATATGATTTCAAGCTAAAAATGGCCAAGAAAGTCAAAAAGAATGTTTAGATAAATACTGGTAGCACTACACAATTAACATGTTTAATTCGCAACTTTCCGTCATTTTTGTCATATTTATTTGTGTATTTTTCCGGTGTTTGTGTGGTATTGTTTTGCACATAACGTGTCTAATTAACTGTCAGATGCACGTTTATTGCGCTGCTCTAAAATTACCTGCGCGTAGAGTTGACATTATATTCGTTAAACCATTGTTTTAAAATAGTTTAAATATTATTTAACTGTTAACATTAACAAACACTTAATAATAATTAAAAGTTAATTCGCTGCTGTAAATTTATATTTTCAAACATTTGATAGACAAAATAGATGATTTCATGCTTGTCTACAATAGAGCAGCATTTTCCGTAACTAAGTTTATTTTAATTGTATGTATTGCACACAATATTGTAGAAGAATTGCTAAACTTTAGGGGCAAAAAAATATTTCTCGGCAATAAGTATGTTATTGCCTACTCGTAGCATTTCATGGACAAACTTTGAACTAGTAGTAGACATCTAACTGTTGATAAAAATATGTTAACAAAACGTTCCCGCATTTTTATAAGTCTTTTTTTTTTGGATAACTATTATTGAATTCATGGTGTCAACTACAATCTTGTTTGTTTGTCGATGGCCAGCGCGGTCAGCAGACTGCGGCCAGCTGGTAGCGGACAGTTATTTGGTGTAAAAATGACATGTATGTAACATGCATCAACATCTTGTGCCGTGCAGCGCCGAAACGGCTAATGGAGTACGATGCAGCATCCACTGCAAGGGTTGAACGACCCAACGCATGCGCGGAACAACCCTCTTTTCGGGCTAAATAGCCAACGAGCTGTCTTAGTGCGCGTTCATTCTAACTGCGATCAAATTTCGATCTTAGCATGTAACGTAGTGGATGCTTTTGAAGGTGGCGGCGCTCGGTGGCGGTACGGCCGGCAGCGTTCAGTAGGTCGTGGCTCGCCGCGACTCGCGCGCGTATATCTCGCTCGTAGCGTCTCGTAGCTCGTACACCGGAAAAACTTTATGAAGTTTACGTTGTCGTAGCCGACGGAACGATTAATGCGAATTGTTTTTCTTGTATTATAACTATTTGATTATTGTTTGTGTGTTTACAATTGTGGGATATAAGATATGAGGTGAGGTTTTTATATGATGTTATATATTTTTATTAATTATTTATTAAAGCTTTAAAGTTTTGAACTTTTAAAGTTTATGGTTCAAACTTATATAGATAAATATTTTCATGTCTAGTTAAACATATGTTAATTGAATTTATTATTTATCACTTTATTATTATTATAACATCACATAACTTTGAAAAAGTTTTATTAAAATATTGAATAGTGATTTTAATCAAATTCAATATAAAGTTATACAATGCTTAAATACAAAATAAATTGAGATTACATTAAAGTAAATAACAAATAATAAGATAGAAAAGCCGCAACTCCTCATCATAGTAGATGTATCGTTTATTTAGTATAATTATTTATTTTTTAAAAAAGTATTATATATATTTTGTTATCCATCTAAATAAAAGCATGTCTTACAAAAATATAAAGAAAATGATAAAACGACATTGCCGTCATGTCGTTATGCTTTAAATGATGCTGCACTCAGTGACAATATCCTACTGTTTTAAGATGGAATTTAACAGTTGAGTGACGCTAAAACTCACTTTACTCATAAAACTTCACGTCGTAAGTTTCATGTTCTAACTTTTCAAAATAAGGAGACTTTTATTTTTGCAATGTGTCCATCAACTTTACAACGAAGTATATAAATTAATGTAACCCAAATGGTTAGATACTGATTGATATAAAATCTTTTGGTTGGTAATAAAATTTAAAAAAATATGTATTTTATCATTACACATGTCGAAAAGCATTTTACAATATGTAAATTTAAATGCTGTTTTTAAATTAACTAGGAATCAATACGGAAACACTTGTTATGTAGTGCATATTCACGGGAGAAAACTATTAATACGTTATGCAATTAGAGTCAAGTGGCCCTAAACACTAATCGCTAACATAATTAATAATTCAGCACAGAGAAGCGATTCTGCATCACACATTCATGTCATATGCGACGCCTCAGTTCCGTGAAATTAATTAATCTATTCAATATTATCTATGATGCGTATTTAAATTACACGTAAATTAATTAATTTCAGATTAGCTCATCGGAACAATTGCAATTAGTAAACAAATATAAGTTAAATGTTTTTCAATTAAACTATGTTTATTAATAAAATTAGAAAATAACGTTTTATCGATTATAAAATTCGTTCCGCGATAAAACGCACAATTATCGGATATTTATAATTGTAGGCAGATATTTGGTTTGCAAAAAAAAAAACTAACTTAACCTATTAGGCAGTTAAATTACCTAAATAAAAACCTTCGATACCCAAAATAAGAAAAAAATAAAATCGGAAGAGAATTACACAATATACAAGAGAATTTTCCCAACAAATTGCTCTCAACATTTTTTTAAGAAACCCTATAATTTCCTATCGTATGTTCATATTCAATTCTTATAATAAAATTTGGAAACATTTCGATACAATGACGGGCGTTGAGAGGGAGTTTAGAGGCGATACAGAATTCACGGAGACGTAACAAGCGGCCGCTGTACAATAGCACGGGGCAGGTGTCGTCTTATTTGAGATTGATTAAACGCCGACGATTAACTGTGAATATTCAATACGTCGCTTAAACTCAAACTACGGCTTAGATTGATACTTGAACAAGCATCGATTAAAGTCTTCTCTTTACAGTTTTTATTTTGACTAAATGTTATTTTTAAAATATTTTAGTACTAAAATAATTTTACGATGCAAAAGGAAAAGGACTTAGTTCATATAATACACTTTAAGAACAAAACATTTTTATTCTCCTTAATAAATAATTCGATTTTCATTAACTATTATAAGCTTTTCTTCCTGTTTTAAGTAGTTCAACGAGAATAATAATTACCAGGTTTTGTTATTGAAAATTTTTCCTGCATTTTATTATAATCGTTTCAACTACATTTATTAATGTTCTTATTTGTTTCTTAAAATGTAAATTTGTTACGATTGAAGATTTAATATTAGAATTGCAGCTAAGATTTCTTCGATCTATGCAGACCAAAGCATGTAGAATATTTCAAAGTTTAAGTACGCATAAATTAAGCTAAGAAAATATAACACTCTCCTTACTGTATGTTTACTATCATTTGCTTTTAGTGTAATTTTTAATTAATACTCTCCAGGATGCTTTCTAACTTAATTATGATCAATAAAAAACCTTAAATACGTAATAAAAGTGTTAAAACCCTTACAAAAACTTGGCATTTAAAGTTAACAGATATTCAAAAAAAAGTTTAGGAACATTTTCAGCATCATTAGAATCCTCAATCCCAATTCTAATTTAACTTTTAACGTCGCCACTCAAACTCTATTTATGTTGAATTAATCGAGACTGAAAATTGTGGCGATATTTCATGCGAAACGATTGTACTCGTAGCTTCAAATGTTCTATACTTTATAGCATAACCATAGTTACAAATGTTGGAAAAAGGCAGAATTAAAATTGGTATGATAAATCTAAAGTAATATGGTTTAACAAATAACTCACACCAGAGTTCTGTGAAGTCTTATACCGGTCGAATACGGCTTTTGCCACTTAGGTGCTCCAGAAGCACTAAGTAAGAACTTCCTTTACCATAGTTTCAGACAGTCGGGCTGGGATACCCATATCCAGAATTCCTAAAGTCAATGATAAAATTCTAAAGTATTAATATATTGTGTGTTTTACAGGTGTTCGATGTTTTTTTTATAAATATCGTCAAATATTACTGAAATAAAATACGTATATTTATAAGTAGACGGACATTACAATTTAAATTGTACTGTCCGTCTACTAACTAATATAATATTTTTTTAAGTCTGTGCTGATGAAGTCGCGAGAGACCGCTAGTATGTATATCAATAAATTCTATTTTAATCCCAAAGTAAATATTTTTCTTCGTACCATTTTATTCGCTACTTCGATACTTAAATATACATATATTTTTTCAATTTAGTCTGATAATATGATACATTCATGAGCGGATCTGAGCGTAGTGCTCCTACACATTTTATATTCTTTCTATTTGAGAATATTTTATTTAATCTTGTGCAAAGAATAGTGCAAAGAAACCTCTTATTTGTTTGTCTACTAAGTCGCTTTGACAACACCTACGGAGATAACGGATTATGCATTCTTAAGGAATAAAATGCGTTGCGAAATATAGCTCATTCCATTTTTAAAGGTGTTTGAAGTTACTTGTATGAGTATGATGAATTCAATTTATTTTGGTTGATAATTATACATTATGAGAAGAAATACTGGGATAATAGTTTGATTTATAATGTTAAAACATAAAACTATTTAAAATAAAGTAACATTTGCAATGTTGGTTGTTTATCAGGAGATAATCTGTGCATTGTGCGCAATAACGCCGGGCGTTTGTTGCGGCACAAATAACGATATCATCCTGACAGGGGCTATGAGGCTGAGTTGCACCATTAAACTAGTTTCACACATGGGCAAAACAGTGAGGTAGTGCAGTAGACACAGGCCAGTACTGTTTCAACTATATGCGTTCAATCTGTAGCAATACTGGAGTGCTTACTGTTCTGCCCTCGTGTGGAACTAGCCTTATAGCGTAGCACTCTCCGTATCGATACGCCGACTTCTGTCGTATCGTAAACAACAAACGTAAGCACTGTTATGATAACAGGCTACCCTATATGCTTATATGATTCTCTTTCTTATAAAGTCTTTCACTATAATGCACGGTTAAAGAAGATAAGCTTTTCTCTCTGACTTAAAAGAAATAGAATTTTCTTTCTGAGAATGCAACGTAGTACATAACGGTACTTCTGCGCAGATCCATTATAGTATGTATGAGTTGTATTTACAGAGAGTTTATAAAGCAAAATATAAGCGTTCAATATTCAGGTAGAAAATCTACAGACGATCGCCGATTTCACAGTCATCAAATGTTTATTACTGTTTATTGACATTAGTAAATCTTCAACAGCATAAAATATAAGTGGAACGTTTTCCGGCAACCATTGAAACCTTCATCTGTTTTCAATTTCGTGGAGTCTATCTGCCAAACTTGTCGGGCCGGGGGCAGTGAGCGCCGCTGTGCATTTCAATGGTCCAGCCTCCGGCGCGCCTCGGGGACTTGCCGCAAATGCGCTATTGTTAACAACGACGGGACAAATATTCACTCGATCCCCAAGTGATTTGACCATGCCTTAATTTTGCAGAAATAACATGAAAGAAGCTGACAACATTTAGAATATTTTGGAGTACTGGTGTAATTTGAGTAAATATAATATAATTTCATTTTGGAAATAAATATTTTTAAAAACACTTAACTTAAACATCTTGGACTATAAACACGATAGAATACTATTTGTAAATTCCAAATCCATAGATTATTTTAAATACCTTGAACATCTTCAAAAGTTTCTTATCTTATTAACATTTTGTCTGTGTATACATTTTTTTAAGGATCCTTCAACCGGCAAAAATATTAAAATTTGTTAGCGAGAGCACTTGTTGGAAAGTTCATTAAGCGGCTAAATTAGTTTCCTTGCCTAATTATGAAAACGACTCGGCAACAGACGTCCATCTCACACAGATCTGCACCAAAACAAAAATTATAAATAAATATAAATCTTAGTAAATAAATAAATACATATTACAATTGTTTAATAACTTTACATAAACAATTTCAACGTAATTTAATGAGTACAAAGAAAATTTTTGTAGCTTATTTTTTTTCTATACAAAATTATATTAACATCGTCCACTACTAGTTTTAAAAAAATATATGAAGTTTAACATGAGTAGATTAATAAAAATTTGTTAGCCATCGCAAATTTGAACAAGCTATATAAATATAGGGAGACCGTGAATTAACAACAATAGTCGAAATTGAAAAAGGCAATTTATTTAACTGGATTATGTCGCATTATTGACATTTCATTTCAAACTAAACAAACGAACAAAAAGCACATCACTGTGACTGGAATATAAGCATAAAATAACAGTTATTGTTCTTTATGATTTAGTATCATTACATGTTGCTTTTTATACTTTATCTCGCAACTTTCGTTCGAACTTTAGATAATTTATGTTCAACACTAGACAGCCCGTTTAAATTTGCAACATGTAAGCAATAAACAACTTTATTTACATTGAAATAAACTTGCATTTTCACTGACAGCTATAAAGCTGGGTTTCGATTTATAGTTAGTTTTACTATCTACTTTATTTTAAGCCAACTATGAATTAACATTTTCAATGTAATATTGTTACTTGTACTTTAGTTGACTGCAGAATATTAGCTGCAGATAAAATCTTTAATTCGAGCTGCAATGCGCTTGCAATTAGTGTGGCTTTGCTAAAATTTCTTCAGTTCGTATGCGGTACAATAATAGCCATATTAAATTCTCTTATATTTTTTACTGAAGGAAAGCAAGACTAAATTGTTATTCTTAACGACTGCTATGTATTGTTAGGGTTGTATTATTACTTTTATGTCTATTTTAAATAAATAAGGGATAATGAACAGTAAGGTGATACACATATTTATGTTATAAGCTGAACAATTATAACATATTTAAACATAATATATTCAGTACTGAAATAGTTTATCTAGATATACAAACATGTTATCACAACTGATACAGTTAATGTTTACAACAGGAATACCCACGCATTTTAAATCTCTACAATACAACAGTTGAATCAACTCTATTTATGTAGATCTTCTATAGGTGTGGGAGTTATAGTATATTTCTGCTATATAAATCTTATTAGTATTATAAATGCGAATGTTTAAATGGATAGATAGATGGATGGATATTTGTTTGAAGGTATCTCCGGAAAGGCTCAACGGATCTCGCTGAAATTTTGCATAGATGAAGAACATAACCTGAAAGGACACATAAGCGACTTATTACGTTTTTTTTTATTCTTGTGGTCGAAGTCGTTACATAAATACGAATTTTAAATAAGATACATATACAAAGTACGGTTATAAAAACAAGCGGTTTGTTAGATAGCAAACGATATATCATGTCTCAGACTAAGCCCCGTAGTATTCGGTAGAGAGAACCGATGTTTGCGACAGTTGCTATGAAAGTTTAAATGTTTGCAAGATATATTAATTACCTTCTTACTGTGAGTTCGTATTACTGAAACATTCTTATAAGTTGTGATATCATTTATTACCAAAAGAACTGAGATCACAACATGTACTGTGACAATTTGTAGGCACTAGAAATATGTAGTTAAAAGGTTACAAGTCTGTGAACTTATACAGTTACAATAGTGACATCTCTTGCAACATTAAGTAAAAGAGTTCAAAGTTATCTGGTCGAAGTTTTTCATTATGATTGAGTTTTTTATCTGGAATAAAAAAAAAGGTAACGGAAAGTATAATTTAATTTCCCAGTTGGTAAGGAAAGTCAGAGAGTGTCTGCAAATTATTTTGTGAGATCAGTCAAATGAATACTTCTGGGTATTGAAAAACTCCTTTAAGGAATTGCTTCGTAGAATTATATTTACTACTGTTTTCCTTTTTGTCCCTTATCTCTATATTTTTCAAAGTAATAACTCTTGGGGAAACAATCTTTTTTGGACCATTTGTGTTATTTCAAATGTGTTTTATAATTAGTAGATTTCTAACAGGCATTGTTGGGTTCCATTTCAAAATGTGCATGACAATAAAGTGCTTAGTCTACGTTTGTGTCTGAACTTACAAGAAGAGGTACGATGTTACTTATAGAAGATTAAATCAACCTTGTACAAACCTTAATTAAATAGTTTTCTTTGTTGAAATTTAAAATATATGAGGTAAATCTATACAAATATTTTAATTTTACCGCTAATAGTAACCTCTTGTATGCATAAGGCCTTTCATAAGTCGACAGCGGTCGCTTCCGTGAGGCGTTTAATATAACAAGATGAGGCAAAATTGTTTCAAGTCACGCTCCTTATTACCCCAGCAAGGTTTCAGATTTTCATTCTAATCGCATTATAACCTTTGGAAATATTCATATCTTCTTTTAGAAAAATTGAAAGGGCTTTAAGTATTCAGGGGTCCAAGCGATAACCGATTTGCAAATTTTCAATAACCAGCGGCTGCTAATTTGAACGGCTGGTAGAATTGCATGGTCATAAAATAGGATTATTAACGCAAAGCATTAATATATTTTAATTAAAATTATTTACATAGCACGCTGTGCAGGATTAAAACAATTTTGTCTAGGAAAGAATCGCATAAATCAAGGACAGCACATAAAAATAAATATGACCCCTGAGAGTCTTTTCAAATATCCCGGATATTACAAACGGACATTACGCGGAAACTTCGCGGCATAAATATGAATTTTACATGCGATTACATCAACTAGAAGTCTAATAAAGTTGTTGGATGCGATGGCGGCTATTCCGGGAACAACATTCTAACCGGGGCGTTTTTAACAAAATGAGACCGTTTTCAAGCTACTTAAGCTTACAAAGTCCAGGGAACTGCCCCCGGGGCAAACTGTGAAGCATACAGATGAATTATAACCGCGCAGCGTCCGCTCGACGGCCCGGGGCGCTTTCCTTCTATGGCTTTTCAATTTGCAATTTTATCATCATCAAGATAAGAAACGATTCGCTCTGCGATTCATAAATATCGCTCCGGAAAATTTGACAAAATATTTGTGCAAACATTTTTATCGCCGACGATATCGGTGTTTGCTCACTGGGTTTTATATTAGATTTGATGTGGAGCAGTCGCTGTCTGACCATCGCCGCGACCCCCCCCCCCGCCCTGCCCCCTACCAGCTGCCGGCTGAATCGACAATGTTTATGGATAATTCCGCCTTTGTACGACGTGACGTTACCGAACATCAATGGAATATTTACTTTTACTTTGGTCGCTGGAATTACTAATAACCGCCCCCATTTCCCTGATCATCCCGGAGGTGTATTACTTTATAATATTCACAATGTAGCCTGCAGTATCTCTTTTACATTGATACTATCATTAAATAATACACTTTTACGTCAACTTGTGCTAATTTAATGTAACATTTGAAGCTAACCAACAAAGAACTCAAATTATGCATCGTATATTCATCATCAGTTCACTATACGTACCCAACGAGGGGCTTGGAGCCTACCCTAAGTTAAGGGTGATTAGGCCAGAGTCAACCACGCTGGTCAAGTGCGCGTTGGTTGACTGCACACATACCTTTGAATTTCTTCTCAGATATGTGCAGGTTGCATCATGATGTTTTCCTTCACCGTAAGAACTTCGGATAAATGTACATATATAATTCGAAAATCGAAAAACACATTGGTACATGGCGGGATTCGAACCCAGGACCTGCAGATTGCAAGTCAAGTGCTTGATTCCTGAGCCACTGACGCTATGCATCGTATATGCCTGACTTATGTGATCCGCAGACGTCTTATAATGCGCAGAGAGTTTTTGTTCTTTTAACAACTGTATTCAATTTAATTAGTATTTGAATGTATGTTTAATATGACATCAAAAGTTACGTTGAAGTCATTGTACATTAAAATTGTCATTTATTATTGAGGAATATCGGGAAAAACTTTTTTTAATAATCGTTAATTAGCTTGATTATATCTTTAACATACTTCAAATAATTTTGATGTTGTATTTATGTTTCTGTTACGTATTTATTTATGTTCCTCTGTTTAAATATTGCGAGTATGACTTCCCACATCTCTTATGACTTGGGACATCATTCACTTTGTTCCCTTCGAGGTTCGGTAGGTTCCAGCTGCGGTCTCAGATCAATCGTTCGAGGATACTTAACGAGACTTTAGTGCTATTGAAACTCGTTTTTAGTCAAAGGTTAAAAGTTTTCGAAACATTATTAGAATTTCAATAATACTTAACAGAAGAACTTTGGAACTACCCACATTTTATATATGTAGGTCAGTGTCAGAGTAAATACTCTTAGTAATCAACAAAACAAATTAAAAATAAATTAAATTGCTAAGCGTACGAAAATGACAATATCGTGAAGCTACTAACATCACCTTTCCTGCCTTACGTGGTTGAACTACAATAGAAATCCCCTTCCCCCGCGTGCGGTAGCGTCAGGTAAAATGGAGCACGTCGGAGCGTCATCAGCTAAATAGACGGCGCGTTACTAACGTGACGACACACAAGAAAACCGAGCGTGTAAATGTCGCCATTACTACCCTGCCAGCTTCTTTGTTTATCATGGCCTCCGTACTCGCAAATAATTGCACTCGTGTTTTACTTATTTGCGTGACTAACTACCGCACTTCGACTAATTGATGACTAAGGAGACCCTTAGTGTAGAGTTTTGAAAGTATATCTAGACTAAACGACACCGAACAGGCCAGCAGTAAAATAAACTGTTAACGTTTTAAACAAATTGTCTTATCCTCTAAACAGAAATCAAATATATCTGTTATAAATACTTGAAATCTGTAACAAGCTACAAAAATCACTCGAAATAGATAATAGTATCGATTAGAGCAATACAACAGCCGGATTTAGACCAGCTTGTGCTCTGCGCTCGGCGACCTATTGCCCACCACCACCCTTCAATATCTCAACGTCGAACTTTGCAGACAACCTTACTCTGCCTAATATTATAAATGCGAATGTTTAGATGGATGTTTCTTAATAGATGTCTCCTCAACGGCTAAACGTAACTTACTGGAATTTGTCATAGATGTAAACATAGACTGGAATAACATAAAGGCTACTAATTAAGTTTTCTTAACTCCATGCGGACAGAATCGTAGGCTAAAGCTAGTTAATATATGAATACAATTCAAATCAAACTTTTTAATAATTCTACTGATATTGATATATTTTATATCAGATGTTTAAAAATATTTAAAAATACGGCTGAAATGTGATAAAGATTATAGTTAGATATAACATTACTTATGATAACTTTGTCTTGTTACAGATACTAAACGTGAACAATGAAAGTGTCAGAACATGTGATACAATGTGTGGCTGAGAATAGTGTCGGGTAATAGAATGTGAGAGCAGGTACGGAGCTGATGTGACCATGAGCTTTCGACGAGGGTCCTTCAAGAGCTTTGCTATAAGCATCATACAGATCATTACGATCATATCACAAGGTAAGCTTAGCTTATTTCAACATACACTATTACATTTCTTTTATTACTTAAGGCTTTCATTTCCTACTTAATGTGTTTTTTACATTGTTCTTATACTTTGATAAGTATATATCCAATCTTATAAACAACAATAATACAATTGGAAGTTCCATCTAATACGGGACTCATTTTACATTCCGTTATTGTGAAGCAGAACATCGGCGTCTCATCAAGCTACGAAGCGATGAACATCATAAATGAAACTGTTAATGGGCTAACTAACTTTCCAAAATTACAACAAAACTTTTCAAATAAAAGCAGCCTCAAAGGGCGCAGAATCTTAATGAAGACAATATTTTAAAGGGTTTCGAACTTGGTATAATTAAATCTCGCTTCTCACATCTGGAGCCGCATGTCTGCGAACAATCGCCACCAAAGTTATTTGCGGCGTCAATCTGTTTAAGTATAGACATAAGTTCTGCTAAAACTTATGACATCGTCCTTCAAATTCTAACCTTTTTGTTGTCTCATTGACTATTGCTAATATAATATTAAAAACATCAGTCGTGTTCCTAAATAAACACCTATAACTGTTTCATACGCACTAATGTTAACGCTTGTTGCGCGACTAATAAGATTTAAAAGGCGTGCGGTAAATCTGACATACTTAGCTACTTATTTATCTTTTTTTCTCAAATTCCTCTTTCTTGCTTATAATTATTTTCGATTCTCTAATCATCTCATGGCTCATTAGTCACTAGAAATTGTAAATAAGAAAAATATTCAGTCCGTGAGATAAGTTTGAAAGTAATCAATTCACCGTGGAGCGGACGAGCACAATAGAGATCGTGTTCTTTGAAATAAATTCGCCAAAATTTTCTTTCATTTCACCTGAATGAAACTTTTCAACTTTAGAAAAAAATATGAACAATGTTATAATTACTTGGGGTATGATGTCGGGCCCGCGGCGATCGCGTCCTCGCTCCTTGCGCTGATGAGTTTCTTAATATATTCCACTATTTATTATCATAACTCCGTGCTTGTATCAGTATACACAATGTTTCAACAATATTATTACCTCTTAACCTCCTACAGAGAGATATGTCTATTTCTATTTATAACTCCTTACAGTAATAAGTTAATCCTTCAATAACAGTTAAATATATTTACGTACATATAATTCTGTAATAAAAGATCATGTCTCGAGCATCATTAGCGGCAATATTGCTTACAAAGCGGTCCATTACTTACCGACTTCAGCTGAACTTTATCAAGTTGTTTAATAAAGGACGGTTGCCCGTCATTACAAACACTCAAATTTTGATTTAACAGTTGATTGAGAAAGACTGATGTCAAATATTTTTATTTATATTTTCCTCATCATTTTTCAATTTCCAAATGTCGTAATGTAATGTAACATAATACTTTTGTATGTCAGTGCTGACAGAGGAGCCGCGCTTCGCCGAGCCCATCCCTAACGTGACGGTGGCGCTGGGCCGCGACGCCAGCCTGCCCTGCGTCGTCGAACATCTCGGCACATACAAAGTAAGTTATCATCTGTATTAAGACAATTGGATTGTCTGTATATATATAAAATATATACGATGTATTTGCATAGCTGATAACGAATAACCTATTTGAAAATAATTGTCTGTCCTTTCGACTTTCTATATGTCTGTCTGTATGTCTGTCCGCAAGGCCGGGTTTTTACCGGGTAATCTCATAGTCAATCTTTTGACCTTGTTTTAAATAAAGATCCACAATACGTCACTTATTATACACTTAAATTATTCTAGCTGTACTGCTTTTTAATTTAACAAAACAGTTTTCAGAACAATGAGTTTCATTTATTAGTAATATTTTATACAATTAATTATCCTCTCAAGTTGTAAAAACTGCCTTATATTACTAATTAAAAACTATAAGTTACACAAAGATTTTGTTAAGAAAACAATAGCTATACCTCTGCCCACGATTATTCTGGATCTTTGTTTGATACCTATTACAAACTATTGTAAGAAGTAATTTTAATGTAATCTCTTTTTAATTAAATATAAACTTTTTGGATTGCTTGCTACTGAAAAAGTACGCAAACGGTTGATTATATTTTTTCAGTAGAATTTCATTGTTAACTTTGTTTTATCAAGACAGTTATAAAATGAGTCTAAAGAGTTGTATTACTAACACAAAGCTATTTGTTCAATAATTGAACACTTAACAGTAGTATTAACCATAGCCACAATTCAAAACATCAATAAATAAAAATTAAAGGTAAATTGATTCGACATTAAGTAAAAAAGCGATTATAAAAAATAATAGAGTACTATATCTTTTAAAAAAATAAAATTGCAAAAGCATTCGTAGCGGCGGCGCAACGAATACTACTTTAAAGGAAATATCGACATCGATTGCGTTTAAATATTGCATTTTATGTGTCGACATCTCCCCGGGCCGGCATTATACGAATCCTTTCGAATAAAAAACGAAAACCATTCCGGCACCGATATTCAGCAGCGAAAATATTCGTTGCGGGAAAGCAGAGAACAAGTAAAGTGGAAATATGGATGTTCATGCGAAGCCCTCGTGGCCGCTCGCGAGTTACACGAAGATTTGCCTATATTTACGACGATCTCTTTTTTTCGGGTGAATTTAATACGTACATACGTTAGAGCAAAGAACAATTTATTGGCGATGTCTTCATCGCCCGATATTTTACCGTTTTTATCACCACTACGGCCCATATTTTACCGTAGCTTATCTAGTTTTCAACATCATTTATTTGAATGGAAAATATTTGGGTATTACAAGACGATTTTTAATCATACTTATTTACTTATTATTTTTAAATCCCTAAGATTGGATGAAACGATGTTTGTTACTACGTATCACCAAAATAGCTTAACGGATTTCGATGAAATTAGACTCCTAAGTGTTTGATACTTTCCCGACTAGTTTTACGACAATAAAAAGATCCTGAAATGTTTATTTTTAAAATAAAAGCAATGTTAAATTGGTTCGTATTTCTAACTCAAATTTCGTTATAAATAAACGTTTAATATTTTCAATAGGCTGGTATAAATGTACTTACAATGTTCTTACAGCTCACAGCGCCGTTTCAAATTAGACTTGTGAAAACAGTTCAAGTAACTTCTCTCCAAATATCAGACATAATATAATGTTGTTATCTCCGAACGCTCCTTTCTAATTCTCTTACTCGAAGCGCGAGTTGTTCGACTCAATGAAAACCGTTATTACACTAATACAGTCTTCCTTTGAATTGACTCGAGATGAAGCGATATTATATGTATTCACAGTACCAACTCGTGAGTGGAACAATCGAAAAGTATAATTGCTTTCGAAACGGTCTTCTGTTACTTGCCACAAGCGCTTCTCAAACTTCCTCCTCAAACAGTTAAACGTTAGTTGTGTTTGTAAATTCTCTTTAATTCTGTCTAGTTCGTTGTATTTAATATCTTTTACATGTTATATGTATACTTGGATGATACAAATGAAGTCGAACCAAAAATAAAAATAAAGAAATTATACATCATTATGATCAGCAAAGTCTGTAGTGAACAATGATGTACCTAGAGATACTAATATTTTATTTATAAATACTTGGTTGTTTTATACGATAAGTAAATACAGCTGCATACTCACACCTTTCTACACTTGGCAATTGGCGCGCCGCTGTCGGCTTCGGCAGCGGGCGGGGTGTCCCGCGGGAAATCTGCCGCAGCTCGTCAGCGCCACATCCTCTTCGCCTATCGACGCCGGAACGTGGGAGTATTTGCTTAAAGACAAGTCAATTACGTCTCTATGTTACCGCCACGCTACGCCAGTAAGGCAAATTGACTTCTATTTTAAGCGACATTTAGGAAAACTTTCCCGATAGTTTATTTTAATTGGACATATCATACTTAAATTCTCTATTATTTGTTTATTTAGATTGTTCTGCGTACAGAAACATGGTTTGAAAATAATAAAACTACCTGTTCGCATCAAAATGTTCTTTGACTTTTATTGGATGCTGCATGATTATTTTTACTAACTTACGAGATGGTAATGAAATTAATGGTAGGTATAAATTTGTTTTAGGGCTGATGGTCATCCAGGAAACAACCTTTACTCCTAATATTCAAAAATTCGTTGTATAACTGTTAATAACATGCGATATATCAAAGCAATTCATTGCGCGACTACTTTTGTTTATACAGAGACCCAATTAACTTATTCATGAAAGCGACGGTCGGCGGGCTGCGGGCGGCGAGCGTCGGGCGGCGGGCGGCGAGCGGCGGCGGCGGTGGCTCGTGTGTTGTCGCCTAGATAATAATTAGAGATTCAGAGATTACCCCTCCATTATAATGTCGGCTAACTTCTCTCCTTTGCCTTTATGATATAACATATTGAACTACGCCGTAACATTGTTCTAATATAATTTTTGTAACAATATTACCCTCGGGTACATAAATTCTCTTGTTAATTATATTAAACAAAGTTACGGTTTTGTTCAATTAATTGAATTGGATCTGAATGGAATAGTTATTTTAATAAGTAATCGCTTTTGTGTTTTGTTTTAAAATAACTAGAACACAGACTTGTGAATATTAATTTCTACTTTATGTTAGAAGAATTCTATAACAAATGTAATACTCTTTATAAACAAACGAACGTGCGGAATTAGTAAGGTCACAGTGTAATCAGTTTATTATGTAATTGTATACATTAGCGATGTGGAGCGGCGATAGATTAAGCGTTGCTCGAAGTTGAGCTGCAGTTAGACGGCAGTTGGTCGACAGTTGAACTATGGTTGAACGGTTAGACAGCTGACCGAGTAATCGCATTATTCAAATGCTTTTCATATGCATTTCTTAAACAGTGTCAATCGTTTTGTCACTAAAAATGAATTACTATTGCATCTGAACTGTAATTGAATCTTTTAACATTTGAATAGAAACGTAACAATATACATGTTTATAGCAAGATTTATCTGATTTAGACTGAATCTATAAATAAAAAATAGTAAGGCGTTTATATACTTCGTTAATAAATCGGTTGTTTGTATACTGAGCAATACATCGTCCCCCTGCTTCCTTGGATATGACTGAAACGGTTAGTCACACAACTATTGACAAATGCTCGCTTCCTAAACCAATTCCTACATATCTTTTTATTTCACATCAGAACAAAAATACCAGCTTATAGTAAACGATATCGCTTAGTTATTTTTCAATGGACCATGAATAACAGAATGTCAATATTATCCTCTTCAGTAATTAAGCACGCGGGGCGGCGGCGGCGACAGTGGAGGGGAGGGGTAGGGGAGGGGAGCAGGACTGCCTCGCGCCTGTATCTTGCACTGTTACAAATAAGTTATTCATGAATTTGCCGGTGCCCTAATTATTTATTTTATTTTACGAGACCTATTATCTGGATACAGCCACGTCGTAAATACTTAAGCAGTAACAGAGTGCCCCTGAATTTTAAAGTAATTGGAAGGGTTGTTAATTCTCTTCATTTGTGATACTCTCTGGATTACTTTACATTTTATGTTTTTTTTGTGCGCACAGTTTTTGTTGTCATTTTGTTAAGCATATTAAAAATTAAATGTGAGCTTAACCAGTTATACTAAAATCTAGTCATTTACATGAGTATTAACTTGGTAATATTTATACCGTATGTCTACGTTAGCGAAGGTATGTTTTTGCACATCGACGCTGTCTAGGTAAGTTCCAAGACGACGCCTAATTTACCTACCATGATGTAACAGGCAAACATTATTACCTAGCCTGAAGCAAGTGAAATAAGTGATGTACATCCTACTAGCTTGCGACAAATTACATGAGATTTAATAATAATGAACATTACCTTCTAATCACATGGTGGATCAATAAAAAAATTAAAATGTAACGTGTTTGTTATACTAATAAAACACTCTCAATATACCAATATTATTAGCCTAACACTTTTAAAATAATATCTTCATTATTTCATTCAATGTCGCAGTAAAAATGATTATTTTTTTTACATATCACACGGAAAGAAGAGAATATTCAATAAGTAAAAGAATTTTATTTCAAGGAAATAAAAAGGCTGTAACACTGTTAAAATGATATTAGAAAGATTCTCTACCCTAAAAGGGCATCATTGGAAATCGATTTAATAAAAAGAGGCAAATAAAATGGCGATATGAGCAGCCGAAGGGAATGCTTTAGGGCCAGGGGATGTCGGCGGGTCCCTAATCAAATATACCTTAACTTCCACCAAATCGATTGAGATTTACAATTTCGGGACTGCGCAGCCATTTCGAATGTTATTGTTTAATTTATTTTCCATTGTTTGCGAAAGGACGCAAATGTATGTATTCTATATAAGGAGGTGTGTGTCGTCAGTGAACCTCTGTTCATGTGTTACATTACTTCTTGTTCCGTATTATCTGGTAAATGTCATTCAAGCTAGCTTTACAAACGAATGCAGTTGCAAGCAACATTGTACTTTCATAGCGTATATTATTAAACAAATATAAAGTTATGATATATATAAGTGGAGGTCTACGGAAGGTTTAAAAGGTTCGATAATTGCCGGGAATGAATTAAGTTTCATTCCACACGAGTCGCGGGCGACAGCTAGTAGGATACATTTTTATAAATTTATTTTAACCACAATTTAAGCAACCAAATTCAATAAAATAACTTTATTTATTTCAATTGAAGTACGTTAGAAAGTATTGAATTTCTTAAAATGATACATGACGCGTTATGTTTTCTGAAGGTGGAATATGTTAAAAACAGTAAGTGGCAAGAAGGAAGTTACAAGACCCCGCATCACTAAACAGCGCGTAGCGAACTTGGCAATACGCGAGATAACGCGCGCGGCTCACTTTGAATTGCCGTTAAGTATGTGGTGGGGAATAAAAAGGGGGGCGAAGAGGCTTACCGTGGCTTTGTGACTCCGCGCGAGCCGAGTTTGCGGAGACTTTGCCGTTCCCACTCTGTTTGTTCACGTAACATTTGCGAACTGATTAAGTATGGGATTTCGATAGGAAACTTTGTAAGCGATTTCTTTTTCCACTTGGAATTGTTATTTATAAAACGTGCCTTCTTATTGAGTGACATATATTTTTTTCTTTAAATATTTTCTATATTACCAGAATCTTAATTTTTTTTAATTTTATTGCATTTCAAAATATTTAAAAAATGTTACAAACGATTAACAAGGGAATAAAAGCTACGGTTTCGATCAATTTAAAACATGTTTGCGAGCCGTCGAGCGTTGCGGGCCCGGGTGATAGTAATGGCTGCAATTTACGACAGACAGTGACGCATTAGGAGAAGATAAAATGTCAAGGAATAACAAGTGAAGTCGGCTTTATTAAAAAGCCAACAAAGTCTAACAAGGTTAACCCTTTCGCTACTTGCCCTTTACAGCTTATGTGGGTTGCCAACTTTTTTCTTTACTTCTCATCTAAATACCTTCCATTCTGTTGCTATGAAAAGCATAAAGTTGTGTCCAACATTAATAAATCGGCTCCAATTTAGGAACGTATTCACATTAAAACATTTGTGCGCTTAGGCTTGTACGATGTAATATTTTGTATGGCACACGCTTAAGTTGCGGAGCGTAAAGCAATTACTGCGACCGCGCCGGGGGCAGGGTCAACGTGCAGTATGCAATGTGCAGCGTACAGTGTGTAGAAGGCAGCGTGCAGTATGCAGTGTACAATGTGCAGTGTGCAGTGTACAGTGTACAGTGTGCCCGGCCCTCGCGACGATGTTTGGTTAAAGAGCCAACGCTGCATTTGTGCATTTCCAAATGAGAACATCACTATCACGCTCTGCGGTACATTAACTGCATATTGTACGACATCTTTATTCGTTTATTATAAAATAACTTTTTCATTTTATTAACTGCCTTTGTGTGGCAAAGGAACTTATAAGGTTAGGAACCAGTGATCAGATACAGTGTGTACAGACAGACAGAAAAATTAAATTAAATTAGTTTTCCGTTATCAGAAATATCATCAAGTGCACGCAATATGATTTGTTCCGATATTATACATGCACTCCATTTTTTAAATATGTTGAGATTGAATTAAGAGGAACTGATCATATTAAAGTAATGACATTGTACTCATGGTTACACCACGGTGAGAGCCGTGAACTTCCTTTATATTTATTATTAAAAAGGAAATTAATGATCGTTATTGCATCATCAAATGCAAAAAGCGCGTTATAAAATTTTCTATTACGAAAAGGAATTCAAATGATATCAATAAATCGGTAATCGTTGTAGACAATGCTATAAATGGCTTTAGGAAATTCACTACGTCATGATTCATCTTCCAAAGTTCCGGCACGTAATAAAGTTCCGAACACCTTTACTCTGTACCTCCAGACACGAACATTCTGCTGTTAATTATGTGACTTTATTTAAAGGCACATAGTAATTAATGAAATAGAAGAAGGTAATTTTTATATATAATTATTATATTAAAAACAAATATTTTGTATAATTTTTAAAATTGTCAATTCCGCTTGTAGAAATTTGTGAGCAAACACTTTTGCCTGGATGTCAACGTAGGTAAATAAAATATTTGATCCTATATGTTGTCACGTTGTGCTGGCTACTGTTGGTGCACATGGAGTTCAGGCAAACCGCAAGTGTCACAAGCGCTCGATAATCCCACAGATTCATGGATATCGTAACAAAAGTAGATGGTACGGAGTCAAGTTGAGAACTCTCATAAAATATGCATGGTATTGAGTGGTGCGCAGTGCGGCACTGCGATACGGTCGCACGTCTGCGGTCTCCCCGGGTAAATTTAACGCGGCTGTGACTTTGTCAAAGTAAACAACGATGCGTGGTTCGGTTGAGTTTCAGCTAGTTTTGGAGCTTAATGTACATTTGTTTGTCTTTCGGTTTGGAGATTACGAGTTACGCTCGTATCGTTTGCACAAGATTTGAACTAGAATTAATATTAGTCAACGTAAACTGTATTATAATAGATGCCGCTTATATCATTTCAATAAACTTTTAATAGGGATATTTTAACAACCAACAACAATAAATTACTCTTCATGGTACTTGCATGTTCGTCAAGATTTCCTTGTGGTTATTTTCTCTAGCATTGTCCTATAAGTGTCTGCCATTCAGCTAACTTTAGATCCTATGAATTGATCCATAATTATTTCTATGTGTTATAGTTTGGATAAATATTTTGTAAAGCAACATATTTTCATACACTAATAATAGATAAGAAATATATATATATTTGTACAGTGTAGAGTTCACACTCGCTTTATTTAATAAATACAACACAAAATGCAATAAACAGAACACGCTCACAGGAAATTGTAAATAACGTTTAAAGAATAGAAAATTCAATTCCAGCACAAAATCAATAAGAGAAAGTAAACCGGCACATAATGGGATAGCGGAGTATGTGGTTGGAATTCAATTTCCGATAGAGTTAGAACCAAATTTATATTGAAGGTTAGCTCATTCCGCTGAATAACATAAATTGGAAGCAATATTAGTGTTACGACTAGGTAAATGTTTGCTTTGCTAAAATAACGCCCTAAGCTTCAGCGAGCTTCAATGTTTTATTCTAATTTGCTGATTTATTAATCGACGAAATTGTTATTAACAAAATTTATTTAAATACTCACTCTGTATTACGAAGACTTATTCCATTGTTGGACAAGTAGCTATCAGGACAGGCCCACTGTCTCCACCCTCTCTAGGAAATAACGGACTTTTTTATTCGCAACTCTGTTAGCGTGGTATAAAGAAAACATAATTAATTTGTGTTATTCCAGGGTATGTTATAATCCACGCATCTGTTCTGGAGATCTCCTCACAGACATCCATCCAATATTCGCATATATAACAATATAAGTAAGATATGTAATGTATGACATAGGTGGCGTGGATCCACATCGACCGTCAGATGATCCTGACGATCCACCGGCACGTGATAACGCGACTGGCGCGCTTCAGCGTGTCGCACGACAACGCAATGACGTGGCTACTGCACGTCAGCCAGGTGCAACAGGAGGACCGCGGCTACTACATGTGTCAAGTCAACACCAACCCCATGATCAGCCAAGTCGGATATCTGCAAGTTGTAGGTCAGTCAACACAAAAATCTTTTACAATAAAACTAATAATGTTGTTAAGATCCCATACATGAATACATTTGCCTTTTTCTTTATTCCAAATGTTGCTATAAATAAAAAGATTATTAATTTTAAAGTAGGCGATAAATCTTACTATAAGATATTGAGAAAAATATTCGATAATGGAATCTTAATAACTGCGCAGAATTCAATGCGATGGGGAGGGTAGGGGAGGGGTAGGGGGTGCGGTGTTCAGCAGGGTTAAAACTTTTAATTACTTGCCTTTGATATTTCACCGATCTTAATAATTTACTTTCATTTGCTTTCTCTTAATAGCTTGTGTCATGTTGTAGGAATTTTTTAATATTACTTTATGTAACGTTTAATTTCTTAAACTAACAAACCCAGACTTATATAAAACACTTCTTTGCCCACTTCATTAAAAAAGTTAATAAATTGTTAAGCACTTCAGAAATAATTACCAGATAAAATGTTCAAAAGAATTGCTTAGTCATAAAATTATAGATTAACGTTTATGAGAATGAAGTATTATAAAGTTTCAACAAACGCTTTAGATTCGTACGAGTCGCAGTTGACTTGCAGGATACTCAGCTCGGGGCGCGTGTTGGCTCCCTCGGCGGCGATTCGGCATCGCACTTAGTACTTTATACGACCGCAGTTCGACGCAAACTTTTAAGTGGAAATAAAATGAAGCTTTTTTCATGTCGCCTTTGAACCTTCGCACGTTGCAGATGTTTTTATATCCATTTGATTGCTTTCGAAGTTGAGCGGCAAGTGCTCGCTTTTTCCACTTTAGCTTTAATTTATTAATTTTTATTTCAATCAAAAATCTCATGCTCGCGATGAGTACTACGCAGTCATGAAACTACATTGCGCTTGTATTATAGTTTATCGGTTGACGCAAATTTTATATTAATTAAGGTTAAACGACTGACTATATTTACCTAACTATGGGTTCTTATAGAATATTTAGTACAATAACTAATTCTTTATATTCTTGCAGTGCCACCAAACATTCTAGACGAAGAGAGCACACAGTCGGCGGTGGCGGTGCGTGAAAACCAGAACATTAGCCTAGTGTGCAAGGCGGACGGCTTCCCCACGCCCAAGATCATGTGGCGTCGAGAAGACGGGCAGCCCATCTCTGTCGATAGGAGAAAGAAAGGTACGGTGGGTGAATAGCCTCATTCACCCTAAAATTGTGGCAAACCAGTAAAACTTATGAAAGTAGAGTTAATGATTAAGTATACTTATGTAACCTTCGTATAAGTGAATTACTATTTTCAATTGGCCTTTCAAGTTCAATCTTTAATAATATTAACATAAGAAGTAACTATTATTGTCATAGCTAAAATGGTACGAATTGAAGTCCTCGTTTTATAAAGTAAAGTAGTTTTAAAATGAGGAGCTCATTTAAGCGCTCAATTGCCCCCGGCGTAGCGCGGCGGAGCGCTAATGTAAAAACTTAAGTGTTAGTTCCGAGCTACTCATGTTGGTATGGCTCGCAATTAAACGCGACGCTCCCACAGACCACTAGACCGGCCGGTGTGCGCGGCTTAAGAATACAATTAGGCAAACATACATAATTATTGTATGAATCCCTGAGTGATGGCAGTAAATTAATCCGTCGAAGCGCCCTCTCGCAGCAAATGAAGGACCCAAAAATTGAGTTTAATTTAAAGAGTGATTTCGTTGCGAGATCGGAACAAACGCGTGGATAAGCTCTTGACGCTAATTGTGTGTGACCCGCTAGGACTCGGGGCGCCGCGGACGTGTCAGAGACGGCCGCGGTTATTATTTGCAAAGGACGTCCATCGTCAATGTTTTAATTACGCGTCGAGTCGAAAACTGTTCTCGCTTTCAATCCGACGCGTGTTGTGTCCTTTGTTTGGATTAATAGAATGCCGAAACGCTTTTTATTTGCGCCCTTAATGCGGGGCACGCAGACCGCCCCCAAAGCGGTGAGGGTGAGAGATTTCAGCCTTTAAACAGAGTAATTTAATATGTTTGTTTGGACTTATCTGATTATTTATAAGGTTGTTATTGTTATCCGTTAGATTACGCACCTCTGCTATATTTTAAATATGCATTTATTAAATATAAATTCACTAAATATATTTAGGAGGACATTTATGAACATACGTAAAATGTATTATTTAACTACAATATCACTCACTCTGACTTTAATATTAGATCAGTATAAACAAAATATGGAGATAATTTCAAATTTAAATACAATGTAAATACCACATTTGATATACTTTAACATATATTATTGTGCACTCAGTGAGTCGGAACAATCCACGCGCGGGCAGCGGCTGCTGTGTGCACAGCCAACCTAGCGAAAGTAACACATTTCTATAAAATCTAGTGATTTAACTACGGTTAGCTCTGAACTTTAGGCTTCGTTTCTATAATCAGATAAAAAAGAGCTAATGCCACCGCAACACTCCTGGTTGTTGAAATTGTCACTTATCATCGGGTACACTTGGTTACTTTTGGCATCGCTCTTCCATAAAAATAGTTGTCCACTCGACCTGGACTCGAGTGCGTGTTTTTTGTCACAATGAACGCTTGGAATGCAGCGCTAACTAGAGCCAGCGGTCGTTAGTCGCGGTAATTGCTAAATATATTCGAGGGGCGGAGTTCCCTCATTATATTCATTGTGCTCTCTTGCGGTCCCGGAACGTTCCGTAATTGTAAACACAGGCAAACTCATTTGGCCACTTGATGGCGCTGGCGGCGACCCGCGCTGGACGTGCCACGAATTTATACTTTTTACGACTTTTAAGTTAAATTGTACGACATGCGGCGAGAATACTAATAAATTTGAGAGTTATGAGGGTCGCCTCCAGCCCCGGGAATTAACATCTTTTCTCTAATTTTTGACAAAACCCTTTACACAATATTGCATTGTTACGGTTGGTTAACGTAAACACAATTTAACGTTTTATATTTTAATGACATTTCTCTTTTGTGGTTCTCCCATGGGTTGTTGTGTGATAATTTATTCAAGTAATGAACACCTTTTCCGTTAAAGATTAACGTGATGGATGCTTCGAAACATTTTAAATGACAATTATTATTTGTTTTATTCAGAACTGCAATATTTATCTTCTGACAAAAATATCAAGAGAATAGTCAGTGGCATTACCAAGTCAATCACGTCAGAGAAAGAACACAGATCAGATCGGCTTACCCTTTTTACAGTTGTTGACACTCGGAGAAAAGTTAAGTTGGCAACAAAAGAAAAGTTAAAAGGCCGCCGCCGCCGCGCGCTACCATGAACACAGCACTTGCAGCTGTTCAAAGTTCTCACAAAGAGATTCAAGTTGACCTGCGAGCAATTTGTTAACGTTTAAAGTTGGTTTTTGCTACCATTATCAAAATACATTGAAGTTAATTAAAATTTAGATTTTGGCCAAATCACTACACCAAACATGTGATTAGTCACATATTAACTGTACTGATTTGGCCAAAATTTGCCATTGCGTACAAAGCTGAATAAGCGTATAAATTTAGCTAACTTTAGTAATAAAATAAAAAAATATAAATTTTTAATTGAGAATTTCATGATCAACTAAATTTAGTTATTTAAAGTGAAATCATTCACGACTCAGCGGCGTGCAAACATATTTAATATCATTTTCATTTTAAACAAAGTTAAACCATTATTATTATTTATATTGTAGTTAAAAAGTTCTGACTCAAATCAAAATAATAAATACTATATTTATATTCTAAAGCTAAGTTTATTTGAAATTATTTTTAGAATTTCATTTTAACTAAACTAAACCGAATAAAATTTAAATGCAAAGCAATTACGGATTGATATGTACCTATAGATTAGATAAAGATCGATTACTATCAGTTTTTTTTTTTATTCCAAGAAGCGAAATCGGAAGTGACCACGTGTATTTAATAAAGTTTAAATTCTTTGTAACACCATTGCTCGCTCACTTAGGATCTCCGAGCCTATCCATAAACAGTGAAGGTAGTGAAGATTTAAAAAAAAAATTACTTTTAAGAGATGTGAATATCTCCCATGACTAACATTTTTGCAAAATTAAAATGGTTAAAGTTTAAAAACTACGACAGTAACATTTTCCTTTTTGAAAGTTTATAATTTTTATGAGGATGACGCTGCGTAGTGATAATACTCGTATATTCAACAGCAATATGCACTTTGTGAAATAATACACTAATATTTATATAATGAATATTAACTAATGCAGCCGTTTATTCTCATTTTAGAACTTTCACGAGAATACGTTTCGTGTTATGTTTAATAGAAATACTAAAACCTGATGTAGCATTAGTTGTATTTATTTTTTATCATCAAAGCAGACGAGAACATTCAGAATAAATTTTACTAATTTTCACGTTGAAGAGTACTCCTACGCTTGAAAAATTAAGAATTATCAATAACAAATATTTGATTTATTTAAGTAGACGATATTAAAGTTAATGCAATTTCTATGTTTCATTGCGGTTATAGTCTGAAGAATAACAACGATAGAATCATCCAAATCTGTCATATTTGTCTCAATGGATTACTTTACTAATGATATACATTGCTCGTTTGTTTAGTGACGGTGTACGAAGGGGACAGCCTAAGCCTGCAACGTATCAGCCGCACGGAGATGGGGGCCTATCTCTGCATCGCCACCAACGCGGTGCCGCCTTCCGTCTCTAAGAGGATCATCGTAGACGTTGAATGTGAGGTTCCAATGTTATTATATTTATTTATCATTCTATACACGACATATTATTATGTAAACACAAGTGTAACTTTCACAACATTTGTAGATAAATGTTTAGTTTACTTTTATGTGATATCGTGGTAAACGGGGGATGAAAACACCGAGACATGGACCATAAATATCGCCCATAGCAATACCACAATGTACAATATAATATAGTTACGATAATGGCCATCTTAAGCGGTGCCGAAATAACTTTACACCATTTAAATTATGAAATGAAAATAATAACTAAAAGTCCATTCGCTAATTGCAAACAACTGTCTCCGCAGACCTAATTTGAGATAGCGACCGAAAAGAAACAAAAATTCTTTCCATAAATAATTTACAGATAATGCAGAGAATTATAGGGACGTCGTTGTATCAAAAATTAATACGGGACTCTTTGAGACGTAACAAAGCGAGTTTTTTGTGAAAAAAAAATTAACTTCCCCCTTTATTTTCAATTCTTATTACGGCGCGCAGCTGACTAAATAGAAAGGAAGATGGCCGCCAAGTGATAATTGAAAGATAATATTTTAGCAAGGTGCACGCCTCCGCGATGATTGCTCTTGCAGACAATGCTATTGATCGCTTTTCTATTGCCATTTTTTGATGATATCTACTTTTAATTAACTTGTATCGCTTTAATATTGATATTTTATAGGCAACAGGAATATCTGATGCTCTAATAACACAAGAGCATCCACAAAGCAATATTTACAATGTAGATAAAAATTTATTAAATACTTTTAAATTTAAAACACAATAAATGGACCTCTATTAATTTTACATGCGACGTTCGCTTCAGTGTCAGGTAAACGAATGGCCAGCGGTCACGCCATTTTTAAAGTTAAATAATGTTTCGATTTCCGATCATTTAAACTGTAACTTTAAAATATTTTAATGCTAGTGTTCAGCTCCTGCAGTTTTATAGTCCACTTGATGTAATATCTGGAGTCATAATTAACGGTCGAGTGGTGAAATTCTCACATATTTCAAAGATGAATGATGATGAATTCCTAATTTAGAAGCGGATATTTTTACGCGAATAGTAAACTACATCATCTTTAGGAATAGAAATCCAAGGAGAGAACTTTTTACTAGAGTGGATGACTCGTTTCTTTCATACGAGTAGAGTTTTAAAAATGTTTATTTTCTATTGTTGGTTTTATATTTGAGAAAGAAAGGGATAAATATAAAAATTAAGTAATAACGTTAACTAAACGTAAACAGCGATACACAGGAGCGTAAATAAGCTGTTATGTACCTCGCATTATGATATTGGATCTCATGAAGCACCATTTTCATTTAGGTCCTCTGAATTTTGTGCACCTCACAACTAGGTCACGTGGATTTGCATTTTAATCTAACACCTCTGCATAAACACACATTATTGGTTTCCAGCGCCGTGCGTTCTATCACCTCTGCCTCACTCACTGATGCGGTGTCATTTTGTTTTCATTCCATCAAATATCTCTTTCTCTTTCAATTTTTTTTTGCAGTAGAAAAACAGAACCCTTTTTTACAATATTTAATATACTTTAAGTGTTGTTTCGTAATGTGTCCTAAAACATTTATATGACGATAGAAGCCAAGCCACCTTAAGTCAGCTAAGTTCTTGCAATATTGCATATACTTTACAGAAACTCGAAACAATACACAATGATAATTTAACAGTCCATAATAAAATAATATCAACGCCCGCCTCGGGGAATAATAAGGAGTGTGTTCATTGCATTAAAACAATAAAATATATAACAGTTAAGATTTTCTTGAGTTAAGGAGGTCGTTATAATGAAGCCATTCGCGATAAGCGCATAAAAAACGTAGAACTTTATAAATATTTTAAAGCGTCGTAGAATATTAAGGCGAATCACGCAGTAGGAGTAATATTCTTCGTGAAAATTGCCACCATAAACTGGCGGAATGTGAATTACGTTCTCAAAGCGTGGATTTTATTATCTGAACGTTATGTGAAAAATTGCCGGCGCCGCTCGGCCGCGCTCGGCAAACTTCGCCACTATCCATCATAATTGAAAGTTTATAAATTGCTTCCCACTTCGCTATAGTTGCAGCAGCCGTCCCCTCGCGCTGTCCCCTTGCTCTAGATTGATACGAAAATAATCGCCGCACAAAACTTTAAATAACTAAGATTAACCGACTAACTTTAAACAGCAACTAAAGTTGCAAAGTGCAAATGTTGAAAAAGCAGTAACACTTTCAATTATGCTGTACACTATAAGTTGCAATTATAAATAACATTTATTATTATAGTTTCTCCAATGATATGGGTGCCGAACCAACTGGTGGGTGCACCGGCAGGCACTGACGTCACCGTCGATTGCCACACGGAGGCGCACCCGCGCGCCATCTCCTACTGGGTTTATGACAATGTCATGGTGCTGCCCACTAAGAAATATGCCGTCACCACTGACGAGAACTCATACAGGTGAGAGTAAGACGATGTAATTAAGAAGTACGCAACCTTTGAGTATGTCATTAGTTACGTTCTTAATGCTACTCAAATTGCGACATTAATTTGTTTAATATTAATTTCAGCTTAAATAGATTCCGGATATTTACAAGTATTTACGTAAATTGAAATAACACTCGTGAAAGGGAAACTTTACGGTGAACGTTAAATTGAATAACGCTGCCACAATAAATCTGTCTGAGGAAAATTATATAATTAGAAAGCAGGTTGAAAACTCGCGCATCTATAAATCTAAATGAAAAAGCACCTTTGCTAAAAGTGAAAATCGTTTTTACTCAAGCGACTGATTTATTTGGAAGTTGTTCAACTTCATAGTATTAAAATGTTACTATATTTTAAGTTAAAAACGGAATAGACAAAATATATAGAACCGTTAACTTGATAGTCTTTTTACTAATGCATTCTAAAATTAAATTACAATATAAACTATGAGCTAGATAATATTGCGTTTTCAAAATTCTAATATGAGTGTGAAAATTTAAATGTTCAATAGAGTTTGAAATGGGTAAAATAACTAAATTGTAGCTAATACAATACGTCATAACAATTTGTTGTCCCGAGTGACGTCAGCGCACCGCACTCACCGACAATTGAATTTATTTGTCGCTTTATCCAAAAATCAATTTACATTTCCCGGCATTAACCACAATAATTTATTTAGAGAAAAATATATTATATATAATGGTTTTTATGAGTATGTTACATTGTTTAAAGTGAGTTTGTATAATTTTAGAGCTCACATGAAGCTGACAGTTCGAAATCTTCAATCCGGAGACTTTGGGAACTATCGCTGCATTTCGAAAAACTCTCTCGGAGAAACTGAAGGATCCATTAGATTGTATGGTACGTATTCAACTCAACGTAATGGAATTTTTTTAAAGAAGTATTCAATTAAAAAAAAATCACAAACACAACTTGTCTTCTGAAACTAATTTTGTATTTTGTTATTGCACCAATAAATGAAGTAAAGTAAAATTAGATTGTCTTATTTCTGATATAAATTGTTTGCCTTTCATTTGAAATTTCACTCCCATCTTTTCTTCTGTAAAAATGTGTTCCTAAAGATGTAAAATTAATTCTTAATTTTTTATAACCAGAAATCCCGATGCCGTCAACGTCTCCTAAAGCAACAGAAATGAAGAGCACCGCTAACAAAGAGAGTAAGTCTTGATCTATATTATATTATCATTTTTATTTCAATTTTCTTAATGTTTTAACTGATTTCTCCATAGCATTATTTCATAATCATTTTGTATATTATTTTAGTCATTGCATTAAATTTCATCATATTTCATAATTTGACATTAATTAGATTTTATACCCGATGGTGTAAAAAGTGGACGTGTTTTTGTGTGAATGAAAAATGACTTCAAGTTATCATAACATGTTAGGTTAAAAACATTAAAAAACCTATTTCAATCACAGGTAAAATTTTTAACAATATCAAATGGCAGCGTATACGAATAAAGTTCAATCTAAATTTTACAAGATAATGAGAAAATGTGTTTACTGGAACACACAAGCAAGGATTTTCTACGTCTTTGGGCACCGTTCCAAATGGACAGAACCGGTTCGACGGCCGGCATTAGTAAACTTGCTACTAAATGTCAATTAAATTGCGCTTTCAAATACCTCTTGCTACAACTTTTCATTATCGCAAACACAACGCCAATTTATCAAGAGATCAACTGAACCATCCTGTTTGCCAAATACTTTATAAATCTATATCTATAATATATTTTACAGTAAATATTTGTATGCGTTAATCTCAAAAACTACGAATTGCTTTTGAAAAATAAATGCATATGACAGCTTAATTATTAGGGTAATTTATGGGGTAGAGACTTTTTAATACTAGGCTATGATGACCCTTAGCTTTTTTACTTTAACCCTTTACTTGAACGCGGGGAAAAGCAAAGTTTTTTCCCAAAGATTATCTTCTCCACTATCTCACTTGATGTGAACTGATGTGGTCGAAAGTTAGGTAGGTGGTAAACGTACACAGTAAGAGTAGATTCTAAATATTATAAGGCATTCAAGTTTTTCCATTACATAAGATTTTTAAAATTGACGTATACTACTTTAAATTTCTAATAACGTTTTTGTTTTCGTCGTTGTAGTATAAAGTTACATTCGTGTAATGTTCGCTGATCGACGTCGTCCTATCGCAAAACAGTTAACTAGTTTAACTTGTTTCTAATTACTTGGCAGTGACTTAGCAACCAACGCTCGTAGACATGTTCTGTTGCTAACATTTAATATATTTCATTTGGAATTATTTAACAAAATCTTTACTTTAATAAAACAATATGTCTATTTAAATTCTTTTAAATTATACAGTTTAAATTTATTCGTTTTTAATCATTCCAGTATTAATCCGTATTATTCCAATTTTTAACATGGAATTGGAAAAATCCTATTAAAAATGTTGTTCATAACCCAACAACTCATGGGTTATTAAACAAAGCAAATGCATTTGTGCAACGATTATCATGACAAAGCAAGCAATACTTATGTGTCCATACTTGATATGCGGCGCGTTGCAGGCGTGAGGCGGGCGAACGTAAGCCGCGCGGTTCAACGCGAGCGCGAGCATGTGCGAGAGCACGACAGAGAGGCGACGGAGCGGCCGAGCGTGGTGCGCGCGCAGCTCGACCGCGCGCCCGAGCGAGACGCCGCGCACCACGTCTACCGCGCCCCGCACCCCCAACATGCCTCAGGTACGCCTCATAAATATTTCCCACTCCAAACTGATAATGCACTGACCAGAAATTGACCAAAGTCTATCACGACTCTCTGAGGTCTCACATGTTGAAATACTAAAGTCCCTGTCAAGTCGAAGTTGCGCATGTTTTCTGAAAGGTTTTTAATGTAGACCCACGTGTAATGTACAGGCTAATATCAATACAAAACTGAATTTCTAGTCGATTCAAGTGCTTTTTTTAGTGGCCTGTTTCTCCTTGTAGAATAAAGATTTGTTAAATTTAGGCACACAATATTTTCAATGTCAGTGTATCATATTAACCTTATCGTAATGTATAGTTACTTAGTAAATAACCTTTAGTGAAGATTTATGTTTAAAAAATCCATTTGCAATGTAGGAAATAACAAAAAAAAAACGTGAAACTTACCGCTTTGCGGTCCTTGTAACAGTATACTACATTATTAACGTTGTTGTCTTCGTTCGCGTGTTTAAAAATATATGTGTGTGAATGTTGCACACAAATGGATCGAGATAATCTTGAAAGAATTTTCTGGAAGCGCCGTCTCTTGTTTTATACGTTAAGCTCGGTTTTGCTTTTTGTTTTGGGATATAAATTTAAACGGCTACAAATAGGCTGTGTTAATTTGAATACTAGGCTAACAGTTAAATTATTTATATTGTTCATTACTCTACTCTTTATTAATTGATTACATATCATGACTTCTTAAATTGATCATTCTGCACCTACTGTTAGTATTTGAATTTAATTTAGGGTTACATAGATCTATTTATTTTATTTTACTAGAAAGTTCCTTATTGAGTCATAATAACCATCTGTATATTGCGTGATTGTAGCCCGAAGTGTTTAGAAGTTCCATTATTTGTAGTGATATGTTTAGAGCGGGCGGGTCTCTTTCCGCGAACATCCAAATACAGATTAAACATTCAAGGAGTTCGCATACACACTTAGACCTCATAAATATTCAAAACAGACCGCGCACAATCAATTCTTACAGTTCTCAAGCAGCAAAAATATTTGAATAGCCGAATAATTTAATATAAACCAAAGAACGTGAAAACAGCTCGAGTCGTAAATAAATAACGATTATTTTTTGTATAATAAATCAAATAATCTGCCGCATATTTTCTATGTAATCCAGCATTTCTTATCGTTAACATTAAAAGTATCACGTAACTTATACAATGAATCGAGTATTTGTATATTATTTGAGTGTCATTTGTCACAATAAACTCCATACTTCATTTTCGCCGACTTCATTATTGACTGTTTTTACGCGAATTTCTCGTAAAAACTTAAAAACATTAATAGAAAGAATGTTTCTCACGCATCGTTGGTCTTGATGAAAAAACAATAATTAATAATGTTTTTTTGGTGTCGGTGATAACTGAAAATAAAATTGCATCCTATTTCCTTTTATTCCAAGAACAGAAAATATACCGCGCGTATTTTGCGCAACTTGCGGGATAATATTTTACAAAGAATGACATGACATAACTCATTCATAACATACAGCATAGTTAATTCTGTTATTTTCCTCATTTTTTATTTCTTTGCGTTTAGTCATTAAGCTTGCCAGTTATTTTGACAACATTTTATATTATTTGGAGAATAAGTTCATTCCCTTTTGTCGCAGTGACAATATTAATTGTTTTATTAATAATTAAAAAAAGAACAAAATATATTTAAAGTTTTACTTTTTGGTTGCATAATTCCTTGTTATTTTAAAGGTGAAATTTGTGGAGCTAATATGTATTTATGTTATTGTTTTAGGAACGGGTGACCACCGATGCTGGAGAAACACCTACTTCGTTGTAATACTATTGGTACAAATCGATTTTCTAGTCTGATTTCTATAAGGTAATGGTGTTTAGTTAGATAAACTAATTTGTAATAAAGATATGTTTTATTTTCAAAATAGTAATTACAATATTTTTTATTCTGTTAAATAAAGAAAAATATTTGATAAAAATTACATATCATTATAAAATCTTATTGACATATTCAGACATAAGATAAATTTAATGAGTTTCCAAGAAACATTTAAAATGATTTTTAGATTATTTAAACAGATGTAATAATTCTAAATTCGGCTTTGTTTATATTGTAATAAGTATTTAGTAAACTTATTATAGAATAAAATATAACAGAACAAATAACATTTATTACATTTATAAAAATTAAGTTATTAAAATTCTATCAGATGAATTCTACTAATATTAGTATGTTTTGGTCTGCGTGTAGATTGCAATAGTTTTAGAAATTATTGTTATAACGTTCATCGATTTCAATAAAACCAACATGACTTTCGACATCACCGAGGCTGAGCTCAGTGACGTCACCAGTACATAACATCCTACATATAGTTATATATTTATTGCTTTACTCATCGCGATACCGCTTTGCATAAACTTTATAACTTCCCTTGTAATATATGTGCCAAAATGCGAAAACTTTTGAAATGTCAGCAGACGTTTAACCTTTTAATTTAATTTAAATGTTTATTTAACATTTTATGTAAAGATAGTAGTTCATTCAGTTTCATACTTGTGTAATATTAATGTAATTTAACTAGGCCTGATCCTCACGCTTGTTAAATTAAATGTAAATATTATTGTAAACAAATTAATGCACGACAAGGTAACTATGACTTCTCAAGCAAGCAATATGTTACCTTATGATTACGTCATTTGTTATGTTACCTAAAAGTAATATGTTAGTAACAAGACATATCTTTTATTAAGATAAGAGATATAACTAAGCTATTTATGTTTACATTACTTTATAAATGTACAGATTATTGTGCGATCTTGTCATTGTAAATAAAAATAAATAAATTAGTTATAAAATTACAGCATTACCGTATTTTTAATTCTGAACCTGCCTGTACCTGTTAGATTATTACTTTTAACCGAATAACAAAAAGAAGGTAAGTAACAATAACTTGACTAAATATAAAACTCGTTCTTAAAGATACGTATGTACATAGATGTATAAAGAATCCTAGTATTTTCTACTTGAACATTTTAAATTTTTCGCTTGTTTCGTATCGTTCAAATTGTCTATTTTAGATGTAGCTTTTTATACCGAAGAGAAATACTATAAAATATAATTTTTACTTCAAGTGTTTTTCAATGTCTATGATGTCACACAATGAATCTCTGATGAGGATTTTGACACTGTATCTGTCCACTACGGAACAATGACTTTACATTTTTAATATATCTATGTTATGCTGATAGCCTAAATTGATTTGCTTATACATGATATATGTATTCTAATCATGCATTTATTATTAATTAAAGTAAATAATACATCGTTTATTTACTTTGTATATTATTTGCTTGAATGTATACGTCGAGGCTTTCTTTTGCGCTAGAATTTTTCTTCATTGTTAATTCTCTTACCACGTTTAAGAACCATTTATCAAAGATTAAAGGAAAGTAACAAAGAGCAGAAATAATTAAAAAAGTGTGCACACAGAGGGCGAGCGATAGGTCCGGAGTTCCGCGACGCCGACGTACAATCTTATCAGGCAGCCATTTTCACTTACTCTTGACAGACGCTATCGCTCGACGAGAATCGATGGTTCTTTTTAATTGATTCCCACTTCCAGCCAGCATTTGCGAGCCCGACTCTTTACAATCGCCTCTTTGTCTTTTTCTAATCGAAATTCAGACCGAGTGGCGAAGCGGGCGTTAACGAATTTTCTTTAAAGAATGCTGTCACAGCCTCTCCCCAGTAAAATAAATATTGTCCCTTGAAATGGCTCCCGGGACGATGAATATAAGTGCTTGATAATGATTATTTATTTAAGCATAAAAAAGAAACTTTTGTGTTAAAATATCTGTCAATTACGTACAGCAAGCAGACGTCATCATCATTTTGTTTTTTTTAGTATAACATATTTATAACGTTCAAGTAACACAAAGTACACACTCGAGAATTCACTTAAATCTTATAATCTGATAGTATATAAAAAATATTTTACTTTAAAAGTGTAATTATCTCGACGTATTAAAGCAAACAGCGTATAGCTGCTGAAAATATTTAGTAAGAACGTTTAAGACATCGCGGTGGCTGCACCACAGCTTCAGTGGAACAAACCACGTCTTAGCAAGTGAGGCACTACTTTAATTGACACAAGAAACCGCAGCTAAGCTTTGCAACTGTAAATAACCGCACACAGCTCGTCTTATACATTATACAGGTTAGTTTTAGATTTAAGCTAAAGAAATCAACCAAATTCAATACTACTATAATAATAAACATGCTGCAAACTCTTAATCCTCGGCCGTCTAACCTCTTGCCCGTGGGCACGGGCCCGAATCCCGTGTTACTGTTACTACAAATTATTAATTTTCTTTTTTCTTTATGGAAGTTACGGTAATTCCCCTGTCAAGGAATCTATTCTCTTCTTGTACACTTCCTGACTCTCTCACTGACGCCGCAAAAACCTCTGGTGTACCACACACATATTACTAAATAATAAATAGAGATAAAGTTAATTAAGTGCGACGAGAACGAGATGAGCGGCACAATAACGTTGACTTGTTAGTGATTCAGTCGGCAGATATTCACAGATTTCACGGACCGCAAACGACCAAGGGGATATTCATGAAGCGATATTTATATCAAACGATTTTTAACTTCTTGATTACACAAAATTACGTATGGATCAACATAAGGTCTGAATCTCAAATTATTTCTAAGTTGAAGTAGTAATTAATGAACATTGTGTCGTTGTAAGTATGGTAATATTAAAATAATATGATTTTTTTAGAAGAAAAGTACAGGTTTATAAATGGGTTTGTTTGTAAATAGAACAAACAAAGTTTCTATTTAAATGAAGTAATATCTTAGTTTAAGTAGAATCGTTATATTTGATAGAACGTGCCTACCGTAAAGAGATAGCGGAGACTATAAAATCGTTACGGTATCGTGTCGTATCGCACTCTATAAAGGGTAAGTCGTTAACTTCAGTGATAGTTAGAAGCCGGTTAGACGCCGTTAAGTTTCTCCGATAATTTAACGTTGACAATTAAGTGAGAGTCATTTAAGTGATAACAATTGTTTGAAAATAAAATTAATATGAGTTTAAGTAACAACTTGTCTTTATCTGAATAATCTTTAGAGATCTGCTGCGACATTATATCTACATGTCTACTTGTATATAGATATGTTATTCGATGTCCGTTAAAGTTTAACAACAATATGTTTAAAATATTTTAAAGATTACATATAATATGTATTTATAAATGTTGTCTACTAAAACAGACATATAAAATTACATTATATTTTGCAAATAAAACAGGAAAAATAAAAAAATGTAATGCAGCAAAAGTAATACCAATTCATTGTTTTGGCAATGAAGACACATCGCGCCATGCTCCGCGCCAGCGCGCCAGCGCGCCGCCGCGCCGCCGCGCCGCTGCCGGCCCTGTAAGGCGTAAGTGTGACATGGGTAAACCCTTTTTCTTCATAACACGAGCACACTTTCGCCGTAATATTTCATATTTAAAAGCAATATCATATTTTTCCTGCGGGAGCGACCTTGCTTATGCTTTGGTTACATTTTGTAAGGATTCATGTCACGATTTTTCAATATTTCCCTGCGACCGTTCTCCTCGCATTGAGTCAGGCACAATGCGAAAGGAAGCCGGAAATTATTTTATTTCAGCGAATGTAAATCCATCGTCTCAACAAATGTGTAAAATTATAGGAATGTTGAAACGCTGACAAGAAATTAATTAGCAACATTTATAGTAGTACCATTATAATTTATTTATCCTGACAATTTTTTTGTTTTATTACGGTACTATTGCAGATGCAATAATATCCGATTTTACATTTGCCTCGCCAACATGTTGTAAACGATATCGTATTTGCCAATGACAGCTGACCGGACAGCAAACAAATAATATCCGCCATTAGGCGATGCGCTTTTCACTGAATTGCTTTGTGTCCACACTATCGGCTAACCATTTTAATATTGACCAATCACTAAACAATATTATTTCAATGTACAAAAACATTTCGCTTGGAATTGAAAAAACTCACAGACTCTATATTGCATTGAATTCTGCTCAAAGCGTGAATATAAACAAGAAAATTATGTTTTCATAAAGCGTTACAGCAATAATTGAAAGTAAAAGCAATAGTTATAGCGTTTGTAAAATAAGAGATTGCCATGAAACTTGAACTCGTAATATTACCTTTTCTGCTCCATACGGTTGTAACCGAGTTGGTGATGCGCCCAACGAAGGAATTGTTTTCTCTGAAGAAGACAACACAAACAGAGAAAACAAAGAGTCTCAATGACATGATGCGACCAGTGAGGACGATGACACCAACAATGACAACAACGACAAGAACAACGCAATCAAAAAGCTATCTCGAAAGGATCCGAGAGCAGATTTATAGGATTGGACCGACTAAATCTGTTAAAACAAGAGCTAGAGCCAGTTCGAGTGCTAGTGCGAGTCCTAACGCGAGTGCCAATGCGAATTCCACTTCTAAATATAAAAGATGGCGCACCACTGTAACTACAAAACGGACAACTAGAGAAATAACTGCGAAAAATTTGTACGAATGTAAATTCGTACTTCGCAACAATGTACCGTATGGCAGCACATGTTATCCTATTATGGATATGAATAAAATAGAATTACTGAGAGACGACACGACCACGAGCACGGCGGCTCCGGGCGCAGACACCCTGCCCACCACCACGAAACCCATGGCTGTGCATAAGGAGTGCGCAAAAGTCGCTTTCTGCAAAGTGTTTAAGTGGTAATAAATTATAAAAAAACATTAGGAACATATACCACTTATTTATTATGATTATGTGTTACTTAC